GACTAATTCCAAAAATCATTTAAAAATTTCAATGCAATGTAGAATAAAAATAAGGGTACCAAATGCAAGAGGAAATTTCTTTAGAGTTTAAAATAACTAAATTTTTTTGGATTCACAAGAACGAATAGGTAGGTAATCTTTTAAGCTGATAAAGTTAGGAAGATGAAATTCGAGGATGTTAACGAGTTTATATAGGTCCTTAACATATAATTTCTTCAAAAACAAATATTGCGGATACAATTTAAAAGGACATTTTCAATACTTACCAGTCCTTCTGCACCAAAAACTTGAATCTGTTTAAATTCTACAGGATTTTTAAAATCAATTTTGAATTTCCGACGTCAGAGTGAAAACCTAAAAACGCAAATTTACTATATTTGGCCCATGGTTTCGAGAATATATTGATATTTGTGTAAAATTTACTATCGCGCGGTGTTATATGTACATATAATGAGCTAGACATTTATAAAAAAATATTGATTATTAAATTAAAAAAGAAATATAGCCAATACTGGTCAAGAAAATGAGTTTCTATTATTGCCATCAGTGCAAATTACAAATCCCGAAAATCCCGGGATTTTTGGGACCTTAAAAAGGCCGGGTCCTTGTGCAGACCCAATGACAGCAACAACATTTTTTTAGAACATTTTACTTATTAAACAATAATGGCCTTATTCATAAAAAATAAAATAGGCTTAAAGGGTTTTATAAAGTGACATTTTCATACAAATTTTCTATTTATAAAGCAGGTAAAGTCTTCTTTATTTTTTATGAATTTCGGTGTAGAAATGTACCCCTAATGGCACGTTTTAATTGCGCATTTTCAAAACCAACGTACCTGATGAAAATGTAACACTAAACTATGAGCCGGTCTTTCATATCAATTGACCGGCCAGCTCCAATAGGCTAAACGGTGCGTTATGAGTAATTGCCAACTGGCGTCCCAAATTTGGAGCGCCAAGTGTTGCGTTTTCCATTGTTAACGAGTGCCAGCGCCGCTACCCACAAATCAAAGCGGCGTAATTTTTGACGTTTTCTCATTTCCTCTCGTTTTTTATTCTCGTTTCCTATTTCACTTTTTTGTCGTTTCTCTTTCTTTCCGTCTTCTACATCCAACTTCAAAACGTAACGTAACTTTTTGTTTTAAAGTGTTTAACTCAAAAGTGATGCGTCGGTCTCACAGACGACGAAAATAGTCAGGAAGGTTAATTAGAAAGGTTACCCTAGGGAAAATTAAGGATGATAGAGTTAAATTTTAGAGATTTTCACAGAATATTTTTATTTTAGCCCAAATCATTTCATTATGATAACCGAATAGGAACTTGAAGAAAAATAGAATGGGCTGAACCTGATCCAAGCGTAACCAGGGTAGGTGGGATACCAACTTGGATTTGCTATTAGAAGTAACCAAACAGGTGTATTATCCTCTGTAGAAAAATATCTGAAAGAGATTTCAATAAGTCCTGTGCGTTTCTGCACATTAGGGTGGTCCAAAAATGCATGGGACAAAAGTAAAGTCGGAACTTTAATGCTCTCACCCCTAAGATTGTTCTAAATCGAAAAATATACCGCTGTTTTTTTTTATTTCGAAATTAAAACTTATTAAGAGGTCGCTCAAACGCTTAAAGTTTTATGCATTTTAAATGGGAAGAAACCCATTTTTCGTGGAAATCGTATAAAATTCTTGATAATCAATATTTGTCGATCCGATAACTCTGTTTCTCTTCAGGAGTCTTCCAGTAATAATACTCAATGGTTTGTTTAAAAATTTTTTCGTATTAAATTTTTTTATAGGTCCTCTATATATAAATACAAATTTTTTCATTTAAAAATAAAAAGAACTGCACTATAATTTTTTTCGGCATAGAACAAGGGTAAGGGCATTAAAATTACGACTTTACTTATTCCGGACCACCCTAATGTACGACATATGTATGTACAAGCGTGCATTCAAAACACTTTCGGTGATCAGTAGAGCGTTAAAGAGAATGACATGTGAACCACCTGCGCATATATTATTGTATAACTCTATTTCAATGGAAAAAAAATATGAAAAATTACCATTTGAGTTTTCATAGATACAAACATACATACACATGTACATAAGTACGTATTTTTAATGTGCATAAACGCAACACTTGTGTTTTAATTCTTCGATACTTTTCATACAATTTCTATATTCAAATAAAATTGCCAATATTGGATCAATGTGTTCATGCAAATGTTCCCATTAAACAAGAAAATGTGCATCGAATAAAAACGACAATAACACACAATACATTGCCAAAACATTATCCACTTAATTGCACTTAACCACATTAAAATATTGACAACAAAACACTTAAGCGATGACGTTTGCTTTGGAACACCGTTGGTAAACCTGTTGCAGTGGATATCATACAGCAATTATCGCTTAACGCCGAATTGGGTGACTACGAAACCACCCTATAATATTTGTAAAAAAAAATAATGTAAAATAATTTTTCAAATGTGCATGCGTGTGTATGTATACTAAGTACATATATGATATAGTTTCAATAAATATAAATGCACTAGGGGTTGATGTCTTCAATTTGAGTGTAAACTTTGAGTTGAGTTTGTATGAAATCGTTGATTAAATAGGGTTGCTGTCTGTGACCATACATACATATGTAGGGATAATCTTACGTGACGCCTCGCATGTTCACAATATACAGATCCTTGCTAGCTACTGCCAACATATGAAACGTACGACCAGGATTAGGTGCGAAGGCCAAGTCAGTTACTGGTTGAGTTATTTCATTTATAGTCTCAATTTTTACACACTTTCGAGCACTTTCGCTATACGCGAATATGAAAACCTTCCCCGTGTGCGTAGCAGTCTCGTCACTTCCAGCCTAGAAGATATTTTATTTCGACTATTAACAGAGTAACAAGCAAAAGCATAACATTTACTACCGCTAAAAGTTGCGAAGATAGCATATACGTCGAAGTATTCCAAGATATGCAACTCAATGGTAGTTTGTTCGCAATTTCATGTAGGACAGGCCATTGAGTGAGGTTCATTATATCTGGCGCCTCATAAATACGAATTATGCCGTCGGCCGATGCAGTAGCTAACAAAAGGCCTAAGTACTTTGGCGCAAATTTGACATCAGTGACACTAGTACGAGAGTCAGCAAGAGTCATTCGTCGCACCCAACGGCGAGCGGGTGTCATTAAAGAAGCAACTTTCTCACCAACAACTTCTTCCCAAACAGATGCCGTGCGGTCAAATGAGCATGTGACAATAACTTGACCGAACTCTGGATGCGCCCACGATATGCGCCAAATCGAGCCAGCATGTGCTTTCCAGTTGCTTGATTCTGTCCAATTGCCTTTATCATCCTCATCCCAGACCTAAAATATGTGTAAAATGGACTAAAAATATTTCGGCGGCAATATGGTATGTAATTGCTCGAACCTTCACAGTTTGGTCACTGGAACAGGTCGCCATTCGGCGTCCATAATAATCAAAAGCTACATCGTGAATAACATCCTTGTGGTCTGCAGATATCAATTCTACTTCAAACATTTCACAAACTTTGACAAAATTATGCACTCTAAAAGCTCTACCGGTCAACAAAAATTATTAGTAAAATAGTTACAAGGAAACCGATTTCATCGGTGCATTAAACACAGGGTGACAGAATAAAAAGCACACTTTATCATCGATATCTTTATCTAATATTTAATCGACACATAATGGCTTTGTTTCTTTTCTTTTCTAGCAGATAATTATCAGGAAGAAGAAGAATGGGAACATTGAGGGAATCACGCTCATAAAAAGCGAAATAAAGAAATAGTAAAGAAACGCAAAGCTAGCAGAGACTAGTAAATAAACATCTGATCGATGTATTTGGCTATTGAAAATATTTGACGCGAATTTTGGTTTATCCATTTTGACAGCAGGAGAGCCAAAAAATAAGAGCGAAAGAACGAGAGAGACCTGCTGATTCTGCAAGTTTTTTGGGTTAAGAAACGCTTTCCAGCAGAAATTAGTGATAATTTGTGATAATTATCTGTTAGGAAACAAAGCTATTAACATTTTCATTTCAAATTTTTTACAAAAATATTTTTAAAATACAAAACAATCGTTTACAGTCTTTGCACTGCTGTAAATATGCGGTATACGTATTTAAAGTAATTTTAAACAGGATTTGTGCTAAATATTCTTATCACTGAATGGAATTTATTTTTGAGCTGTGCCCATACAGCCATATATCGTTCCGAATATGCAATTTACGGTTAAAAACAAAAAAAAATGCATTCTTTTACAAATTATTCAGTAAATTGCCAGTAACTCTCTAGTAACTTAATTCCTGAGAATTTGCTCTCATAGCACAAAAGTACAAGAACGAAAAACCAGTAATAATTTGCAAGTTTTACAAACAAGAGATTATTTTTTTGTTTATTCGCAGCTAGCTCCTAATAAAACAATATATATTTTATTTAAATAGGTTTACTTTGTAAGTTTCTACTATAAAAACCCCATAAACATTTTTTTATTCGTTTCAGTTGCACCCAGCAACATGCGATCAGCTGTTTTTCTCACTTGCAAGTTCTTACTAGCAAAAATATATCCAGTAAAATCTAGCAACTTTTCCTCAAAATGAAATATCACTTTGCGCTCTCAATTTCCCCTTTCTTACAAGTTTTTTGGGTACAAGAACACCAAAACATGATGTTAGTAAAAACTGGTACAAAGATAGATAAGACAATACAATAGGGAACAGATTTTTATTTTGATTTAATATCGAATTTTCATCGATGTCACCACCAGCACGCTTTCTTTCAAATGAAAATTTGGCTGTCAAACCATGGAATTGCCTCCAATAAATGTCAAGCAATAAGCGCTGACATATATCTATAATATATAATAATAATACTCTAATACCATGTCCCCACCGGAGCTAACCACGTAGTTATGGCTGTTGAGTTGGTTAGCCCGATAACCCACTTGATTTAGCGTAGTTTCGCCATATAAAAATGTCACCAACTCGAAACCACGTCGAAAGTCTGGACAACCCTGTATTTTCCCGCCATCTGTGGGTCATTAGCGTTAAGATGTAAAAAATTCGTTCCTACTAGTGTTTGGACTCCTAAGATCAGATGAGATTTACTCCGTTTTTGAAAAAATTTTAAATCTAGTCCTCTAGTCCGCTTGACTTCAAATCTATTCCGTTTCTCTTTTTCATTCATGTTAAGCCCCTCTTAGGGCCGTTTTTTGAGTGTTCACCACCGGTTTCAGTAAAAAAATTTAAAGTTAGTCAAATTTCACTGTTAAAAAGGTTGTAACTCCTTCAAAGCAATGCGTCAATAAAGTTCGTTATTTTTTTATGAATGGATGTAGAAATTGGCGGATACAGAACTTTACTTAATTTGTTAAAAAAATATATGTAGAATGAAATTTACTCTTTAAACAATTAAGTGTTAGATATGTCCTACTTTATAGAAAATGTTAAAAATTACCTAAATATGTAACATATCATCCTTACATTGCTTCGCGTTCTTATTTTTCCAAGAATAGAGAATATTTAAGTCAAGCAATTAATGTCAGAAACGAAAATATAAAATTAAATCTAGTACGGAAAATTTGTTTTTGCTCGGATTTTTGCAGCGATTTAGTTCTGAAAACCTCAAAGCGCTGTGTGGACAGCGATAGTTAGTGATGTGGTTAAGTTCGATTTGAGATGGTTAACATTTTGGTAGGGACATGGTATAAAGTAATTATTAATTAACTAAATCATTACAGTAAATCACTTTTATAAAGGATTACTTAGACATATACAACGAAATATAGCTATTCTGACATTTTTACACACTTATGTACGTACATATGTACATATATGCGAATATAGTTAAAAAATAGCTAAAAAGGATATTTCTCTTTAAACAAGACGTGGCAAAGCCTACTAGGTGCAGCCCAGGACTGAGCACAACCGACTGGAACGAACCTGCGAGCCTAGTGCTCAACCGCCTTCCGATGAAATACTTGATAGTGGTACCGGGGGGTCGGTACTTGGACGGTAGTAGGTTTAAGTAGTTCGGGTTAAAGTCCACACTGACGGGTATAGTGAATTAAAAGCTTGTTGTTACGAAAACTTACTTTTTGTACTGCGTATTTCTATATAGAATTCCAAAATTGTCTCAGAATGAAAGTGCCAAAAATAGCGCTATTGTGCCTACTTTTCCATCACTGCTGCACACTCGCTTGTCATGACAGTGCGAAGATTAGATCCGTGCGGATGACATCCGTCGGATACCGTATTAGGCATGATGATATATTCAGGCTTCTTTTTGTTTTTGAAAAAATAAAATTTTAATCAAATTATCCGCCTTCGAAAAATATTTCACCCCGCGTTTACTGTTTTTTTTTTCTTTGTATATTTTCTGATATATGTAGCAGGTAAAAATAGGGGCAGGGTCAAAATGGTCAAACTTATATAAAATTGGTCTCGAATTGAAGATCTTCGAAAATGTTTTACCCGTGCTTTGTTTTTTAATGGCTTTCTATATTTCTGAGATATGGGCCAAAACGTGGACAACCGCATTGGTATCAAATTAGAGGTATTCGTAACATATTTTATCTGTGCTTTATAATTTTTAATCGCTTTCTAGTTTCCGAGATATGTATATAAACTTTATTTAAAAACACCTTTATTTTTTTTTTGACATTTCTGATGTTCAAAGACCACTGTTAAAATTTTCGACGAATATTTTTCTAGAACAGTAAACTTTGGACCACGTCAACCGATTTCGATAATTCTATCAGAAAGGTAGTAGGTTTGTTCGTCGAAAATCCAGCAAGAATTATCCAACACTCAAAGTATCAGAGAGTAAGACAAAATTCTCTCTCATGATGAGAAACTTGCACATTTCTGCACGAACGCAAATTTACAGGAATTTATTAATAATAAATTTTTAGATTTTTTTAAATTCTTTCAGATGGAAAAAACAGGATATACATGTATATATTTCTTGTTGTTCTGACTTTCTTTAACATACATTTCAATTTCTTTATCGTACACCCGACAGCTAGGGTTTCTTAAATCGACTCTGGTTGCAATTGCATTTCGATTGCGAATACATTTTTTTTCACCCGAGTTAAGTTTAAATCATTGGAATTAAATAAATTAATTATATTAACAAGTATTTACTTCCTTTTTTCATAAACAAATCGCTCGTTTATAAATTTTTAAATTTAACGACCTGGCAAAATTTTTTACAGCAAGAATTTGCAACTTCTCTCCACGAGAACTGTCACTTTGCTCTCACAATTTTTGAGTGTTGGATAATTTTTTGGTCTGCACGAATGGGATTTGGGCAAAAATCATAATTCTTACAAATACGTACATTTTTTTTCGACGAACAAACCTAGTGTCTCACAGGTAGTCCAATACTAATTTGGTTGAGATCCGAACATTGGATCATGAAAAAAATCAACGGTACTCCTAAATTTGTATATGAGAATTGAAGTCGGTTGTGTTTTTTGTTTAAAAATTGCTTGGTATATTTCAGTTCGGTTATATATGTAGATATATCGCATTGTAATATTCTTATTTATCATGAAATACACTAACACCTTAAACATATTCTATAAATTTCAAAAACAAGGGAACAAGAATCCATATATACCTGCACACATATGAAAATTAGTGCCAAGGAACTTGGTTTGGATTGCTAATTGTTCCCTTTTTATAGTATTTGGCAGTAGCTGCAGCTGCGGCTGTGAATGTAGGAGAGTTGAGACTTGATTCATAAGCAGGGTAACTTCCTTCAGCTTTTAACACTACGGCGCATTTCCAATTTCGTGTATAGTTCACTAAAAAATACAATAATTGATTTTAATATAGATTTTATAACTAAAAAACTACTTCGCCATATTCGAACGCATCCATCATCACCGGTGGAAATAAGCATTGTTCCCAACATATTCCAACATACTCTCCAAACTGGACAATTGTGATCGCTAAACCGAATGGTTTGAATATCAAGACACATATTTCCAGACGAATTGTTAGACCTTAAGGAATATTATTATTTTCAAAAAGAAAGTATGTATGATATTTGAAATTACATGTTTCCACGGATATTTACAATATAAAGGTCTCTACTGGCAACAGCTAATACATGAAATCGACGACCAGCAGCAGGGGCAAAAGCTAAATCAGTCACAGGTTCATTTATCTCGTTTATAGTTTCAACTTTCGCACATTTTCGGGCACTTTCGTTATATGCAAAGATTAAGACTTTACCCGTATCCATAGAAGTATCATCACTACCGGCCTGAAGATATTTAAATAAATCACGCAATCGTACTTAGATTGGTTAAATTTTCTTACGGCTATGAGGTGCGAGGATAGCATGTATGCTGAAGTATTCCACGATATACAGCTCAGGGGTAATTTGTTTGCTATTTCGTGTTGTACAGGCCACTGTGAGAGGTTCATTATATCTGGTGCTTCGTAAATTCGGATTATACCATCTGCGGATACCGTTGCTAATAAAAGGCCTAAGTATTTTGGTGCGAATTCTACGTCAGTGACGCTCGTACGTGAGTCAACGAGCGTTGTTCGACGAACCCATCTACGAGCCGGAGTCATGGTGGCTGCGACTTT